TATAAACTTTTTAAAGGCTTCATGTCCTCTACCTATATACAACTGACACCTTCCTCAAGAAAACTCAGCTATGCACAGACTTAGGACCTTGATAAATATTCACTAAATGAATGCAGTGCATGAATTTAGAGAGTTACTTCTTGGGTTTATGACTGTATGATGTGAAGAGGCTGTCTGTTGAATGCAGACACCTTGGAAGTAAAAAGTTCACTCTGTCCATGGGAAAACATTTCTATCAGCCAGCTGTCATCCTTAGCTCACGAACTTTCTAGGCAATCCAGGAGCTCTCCAATTTCATTATCCTTTGACCACACCAGATGTAGGGAGCGGATCTGGGAACCTTTAGAAGAAAAGACACTGGAAGGACATTGTAGTCAAGACGGTGTGACTGCCCTCCTGGAAGATGATAAGCACATGTTCAGATTGCCATTCCTGATTGAAACATACATTCACTAAACCACTTATCTCCCAATCTCTGCCAGAAACTATGGCACTGGCTAGCTACTCAGAGAAAAAGTAAATCAATCTTCTTTTCACAAAGCTGTAGAAAAATGGTCGTAGCCATGCTGACTCATAGACAGAAAAGACTGTAGTCTCCAGTTAGGAGGCCATGGCTTTCCTTATTTCAGGGGTTAACAGATTCTATTCCTAAAAAGAAAGAAGGGAAGAGAAGATTTGGGGATAAGTAAAGGCAATCTCTTTAAGAGACCTGTGTCTTTGGAGCAGTTTGTTTTCTTATATTCCACTAAGGTGTTTTTTTTGTTTTTGTTTTAGGCTATAAGGTCACACAGTCGTGATAAAGTAAGAGACTTCTTCCTGGCTAGCAAAAGTCTAGCATGGTGGTTGGTGAGTAAGCCATGAATGTAGGTTTAGATGTCTTATTACCAAAGTAATTTGAAGTCACTAAATCAGGAATATCTTTTTGAGGTGAGATATGGTCTTGCTATTTTATCCAGACTGGCTTGGAGCTCAACATCCTCCTGCCTCACCCTCCTAAGTGTTTGCATTACAGACATGAACTACTGTTGCAGGAGGGCTCCAATAGAGACTGAGAGGGCACCAAAGCTTTCAGGAAGCAAGTTTATTAAGCAAGCTGGCAGCAACTCAGCAGACTCATGTCCAAAGGCTTGTATACCATGTTACAGAATTGTGGGGTACAGCTTGTTCCATACATGATCACATGTTATTTTATTGGGCCTTCTAACCCCTGGAGCGAAGTGACCCTTCTTTGGTCTCCAGGTAACATTCCCCAACTCCGGTTTTCTTTTGTTTCACTGTAGCACTCATTAATCTCTCTTCCCCCTCCTAGCTTTCCCACCACACTACAATATCTGGCAGGATTTCTTTTTTTTTTTTTTTTTGATGGCCCTAATGGTATTTATTTATCAGAGTTATGCTTTGCTAATGCAAAATAAAGAGTACAAATAGAACATTTCCCAATTGTAAATATTAATTTCTATAGTTTTATGTCCATTTCACAAAAGAGCTACAGAAAGTTATAGAATATTTAATTAGCACAACACCTCTGCCTTAATTATCTGAGAAATATAGGACATGAATTCTTGTGAACCTTATAAATCTGTCAGCATAATTTACAGTAATTATTATTTCTTTTTTTTTCCCCATTTGAAATTATTTATTATTCTTTCATCCTGTCTAAGTTAGTCTCTTGCCAGATGCAAAAACCCAAAGACATTTTTTCTGGTAACACTGAAACTAAGTTTAAACTAAGTAAAAATTCTTTTAAATGGTTCTAATATTGATAGTACTCTATATCTAAATGTTATGAAAATCATTTACAGAGTTAAAATGTATACATGTAAACAGCTATAGTCTTTTTGTCTAAGGTACATTCTCTTTTTTTTCATTTTTCTTCTATTATTCATATGTGCATACAAGGCTTGGTTCATTTCTCCCCCCTGCCCCCACCCCCTCCCTTACCACCCACTCCGCCCCCTGGCAGGATTTCAACTAAGTTTAGTGTGATAACCATTGTGTACCAGTGTATTGTTCTAGGTTCTAGGACATAGATAGAAAACAGACATCCCTGCCATATGGAGTGCAAAGTTAAGAGCAGAAGTAGTATGCATAGGTAACTAATTACAGTACATTATAGTGCAGGACAAGTCTGTTAAAAGATACACAGTCAAAAAGCATGGATGAAAGGTAAACTTGGACTTTTGGGCACAGTAGCACAAGAAAGGTATTACAGAGGTGAAGTTATGTGGGCAGGTTTTGGAAGTGAAGTACACATTTTCCAGGTACAAAAAGTGTAAAGCTTCCAGGCAGAAGGAAAGCATATTCCAAACATGGAGGTACAAAGTGGCATGGTGATGGAGGGAGGCAGGGTGGAAGGTAAAAAATCATTTTTGTCATTCGTATGTTAAATATTTTATTGATTGCACAAAGTCATTCGAAACCCCCACAGCAGTGCAGGCAGCTGCCCATGTACAGCCCTGTATTTCTGCTGGAGTGGATAAGGCCACCTCAGAGAGGAAGAACATGCCAAGCCTGAACCAGGACCACTTTATAACTTAATGTGTGAAAATATGCATACATTTCCCACATAGAAATTTAAGGTCACTTAAAGAATTGGGCAAGAAGGTCCTTATTTAATCATTTATTCTTTGTCCTCAAATGTTAACCAGTCCTTGATGTGCCCACTGTAGAGGAGCGAATAAAGTAATCTTAAACTGACAAAGGCCACTATGGGAAGGTGACCTGGAAGTAGCAAAGAGGTCTGGTAGAGATGAACCAATGTGGGTTGTAATACACATGTGCATGGAGGCAATGCTGGGAATCTCTATATAGCTATCATTATCTCAAGCTAGCAAAAATGCTATGTCTTTCTATTATCTCTTATGTTTTCTCTTCAACAAAATTGAGAAGAGAGCAGAGCTGGTTCTACCTGGAAGCAAGGAGGGTGGGGAGCAGGGGAGGGGTGCAGGGGAGAGAGGTGGCCCAAACAATGTATGCATATATGAATAAATGTATAAACAAAAAAATTTAAAGGCAAAAAAAATGTTAAGCAGTCTTACGGCAAGGATTCATTTTCTCACATCAGGGTAACACTTCATAGAGAGAAGTCTTGTCTCAAGATTCTCCTCTGCAAATCTCTTCTCTCCATATTCCTCATCTCATTAATAGCAACTCCATGCTTCTGGTTGCTGGTGTTGACAGACTTAGAGTCATCTTAAACCCTTCTTTTACTCTCATATCCAGCATCCTATCCACCAGGAAATCCTGTGCCTCAATCTAAAAAATGCATCTGGATTCTAGCCACTTATTATCTATTCTGCCTCAAACTCCATGGTGCCCATCACTCGCCGGGACCACTTTGTGGGCTCCCTCCTTCCACCCTTGCTCTTCAGTATCCACTCTCAACAAAGCAGCTGAAGAAATACTGTTAAAACTCAAATCAGACAATGAACTTTTTTGCTTACAACCTTCCAGGGCTTCTCACCCAAAATAAAGCCCCACTGTTTTAATGGCCTATGTCAGGCCACAGGTGACCTGCATTTCCTTTCCTCTCAGGCCTTGCTTCTTGGGACGCCTGTTCTCAGCTCTAGCCAGTGTCCTTGAATCTTGTGTTTGTGCTCCTGCCTCAGAACCTTTGCACCTACTGCTGCCTCTGTGTGGATGCTTTCTCCAGATGTCCCCACAGCTTATTCCCTCAGCTCTTTTGCTATTCCTCAGTTCTTTTCTGAGGACAGACTGCACTGACCATCTTATTACTCAGCATTTCTATCTACTTTCTCACCTTTTCCTTTTTTAGCACTTATCACTATCATGATATAAAATAATTTCCAAATTAATTGTATTTATTGTGTCTCTTCTTCCCAAAAGAATGTTAGCTTCATGAGGCAGGGATAGGACTTCTATATATGATATTCACTAATATATACCTAACACCCAGAGCAGTACCAGGCCCATAGTTGGCAGTGGACATTAATTAGATGTTATTAAATCAGTCAGGAATGACTAACACCTGTAACCCCAGCTATATGGGAGACAAAGATTGCGGTTTGAACCCGGCCTAGGCAAAAAGTTAGCAGGACCAAAAGGTAGCAAGACCCTGTCTCAACAAATAAGCCAGGCATGATGGTGCACACCTGTATGCCCAGCCACTCAGGAGGCAGAAAGAGGAGGATTTCGATCCAAGGCCTGACTGGAAAAAAGTGTGAAACCCTATCTGCAAACAAACTAAAGGCAAGAAAGGGGGAGGGGTTAGAGGCATGGCTCAAGTTGTAGAGCCCAGGCCTAGAATGTATGGGACCCTCAGTTCAAACCCCAGTACTTCCAAGAAAAGGTGGTTTAATTACCTGCCTTTTCATTTATTAATGCACTAAAATATATTTTGCATAATTAGATATGGATATTTTATATTTATACACAGTTGCATAGTATTGTATCATGTGAACCTACCACTACTTATGTGCTGTATTATCAGGCAATTTAAGCTGTATATAAATTTTCACTAAGTGTAGTAAATATTCTTTTTTATTAGCATATAATAGTTGTATGGGGACACATCGTGGTATTTACATATGTGCTTACAGTATATCTTAATTAGATTCAACCCTTCCATCATTCTCCCTCACCTCCTTTGCCCCCTTCTTAGAACAATTTCAACAGGTTTCATTATTCTATTTGCATACGTGAATACAAAATACATCCACCATATTCACTCTCATTCACCCTTTTCTTATGCCCTCCCTCCTCCCACTGATACCCACTCCCAGACGGGACCTGTTTTACCTTCCTGTCCTTCATTTTTTTAAGTGTATATAGATAGTCCAAGGGGGTTTTGCCTTGGCATTTCAGACATGTATATATCGTGCTTTAATCAGATCAATCCCCCCATTGCATACTCTTTGTCTGTCACCCTGCTCCCCTCCCCTATTATTCCACAGCTTGCAGTGCATAATGTTATATCATCTTCATACCTAGGTGGAACGTTTCAATATCTTTCATTCTGTACCATCCTCTTTCCCTCTGCCACCTCCTTTAGTCCCCTCAGACAGACCCACTGATACAATCTTGTTCTCTCTCTGTCTCTCTCCATCTATTATATATTGTGTATGTACATATATAAGTTCACGTATGTATTTATGTATACATTTATCTTACAGGCTTAGCTTTCCCATAGGAGGGAAAACACCATCTTTGACCATTTGAGCCTGGCTTCCTTCACATAACATGATGTTCTCCAGGTCCATCCATTTACCTGCAAAAACATAATTTCATTCTTCTTTATGGCTGAATAATACTGCATTGAGTGTATGACATTTTATTTAACAGCAAAAATAACTTCCATTACTCATGTACTTTTTACATGCCTCCTCTAAGCTTTCTTTTTTTTTGTGGAACTCAGGGATTCATGCTTGCAAAGCAGGCACTCACAAAGCAGATGCTCTATTGCTTGAGCCATACCTCTAGTCCATTTTGCTCTGCTTATTTTGGAGATGGGGGTCTCCCAAACTATTTGCCTAAGCTGCTTTGAACCTCAATCCTCCCAATCTCAGCCTCCCAAGTAGCTAAGATTATAGACGTGAGACACAGTTGCCTGGCCACCTTCTAAGATTTTATTGTCTTATATTTTTTCACTACCAAGATGTTTGGTGTTTGGGAACTATGTCTTATTTGTACATTTTACCTTTTATAGTTGTTTTTTAAAACTCTGTCTTTCATATTTCTTTTGGTCTTTATGGTACTTCATCTTATATTAATGTTATCAAAGTTACTTTCTGTTTGTTTTTGTTTATCTAAATTGCCTCGTTATGTTTTACCTTCCCTGATAATTTGGTTTGAAATGGGCTTCATGTCACTGACATAATAGATTGTGGTTTTAAATGATTGGTTACCTCCATTTCATAAAATAGTGACTGCTGGTTTAGGAGGGATTTTGCTCCTTTTTATTCCCCTAAGATTTTAATTTTTAAACTAACAGATGTTGGTTGTAAACAAAGAAAAGTTACAGTTCAAGTATAAAACTTAGAAATTTATATCCACTCCATTTCTATAACCATAATTCTAGTTCCTAGAAGTATTTTGTTTTATATATGTGTGTGTGTTTGTGTATTGCCAGAATCTCCCCCATGCATATATAAACATATATGTGCACAAGTAAAATACACACATAAAAATTTAATTACATTATATATATATTGCTTTTCACTTAATAGAGCTACCTGTTGCTTCTGTGTGCTACATTGTACTCCATCACATGTATGTATTTTAGTATTTTAACCAGTCTATTGATAATGAGTGATGTTGTTAACAGTTTTAAATTATTTCAGACACATCAAACTCCAGCTCATGTTTCTGTATTGGGGAATTGCAAGTTAGTGGAGTGTGAGGAAAGTGGCAGCATAAGAATGGCTATTCTGGTTTTCATTTTTCTCCCTCTTTACTTTTAACTCATGGCTAGTTCTATATATAAGAAATGTGAATGGGAATTCTGCCTAAGGAATAATCGCTTTTGAGGAAATTTGAAATTCAGTGAAAGTTTACATGTGTAAGAATTCATTCTTGGAATAGGACTGAGAATTCTGATTGGTAATCATTTTTAATTTTCAGATAGGTACTTCTCTTTTTGCTGCAAATACTGGTAGTGGCCACTTTATAGGCATGGCTGGGCTAGGAGCGGCTTCAGGGATTGCTGTTGGGGCCTTGGAATGGAATGTAAGTAGCACCTTCTGTAGCAACTAAACTCTGTCTATACCACTGCCCAAAGCAAGCTTAAGCACAGCTTGCTTTCAACCTGGGTAATTAGTAAAGACTTCTTGAGAAGTTATGAAGGGAAGGAGCCAAGTCTTTAAAAAAATTATTATACTTCTTAATAAATAAAAAATAGGTCATTCCGAGGGTGATAAGAATACAGTAAACAACTGTCAGATTGGTCAGGTAAGGGAAGAGGTCATATTAACACACGCATATACATATATATGTATGTATATATGTAATAAACTCTTATATATGTAATATATGGTATTCAGAGATATATATTATATATGTATGCAAATGTGTATATGTGTACACACAGATATATTTTTATGTATATCTGTATATGTATTGTCTTTCACAGTGTATGTTGAGAATGAGTTCAACTGAGCTCTTTGAGATATTCAACTAGTTACTATAAATCTAACTAATCTTCCAAGAATACCAGTTTCAATATTAACCATATAAATATTGGATTAGTGATTTAATTAATGAAATATATTTAACCAAAGTATATAAATCATTTGGCTTTATGATAAATCAGAAAGCTCCATGCTTCATAAGTCACGTCTTTTTCCTCATACATTACAAAAAATAATACTTCTACAGAGTCAAACCTAGTAAGAAGCCCTGTTCTTCACCACTATTTACCTCTCAGGAATTTGAAACATCTCATTTCTTCACATACTCAACTCACCCTACTTTTTTCCTAAAGAAAGCCAGATTCATGTTTGTCATTTCATTTCAGTTGTATTAAAGTTTGGTACACTTTCTCTTCCTTTCCCCTGAATAATTTCTGATTTATCTTTTCTTTTTAATCTATTTTTAAATTTATTTATAATGCATCTTCATTCCTATCTGGAATAGACAATAAATTAATAATTAATACCTTGTAAATTCACTCAATTAACCTCCCTAAATTAATACTCTTGTAAAATAAAAGATTGTGTGCCTGAAAGCTAAGTTCTTCTTGTTGAAGGTTGGGTCTTGGGCCTTTATTTGTATGTCTCCAGTAGTAGTACATCTTATCCAGCTCAAAGAAGATCATAACTGAGCTTGCATCTCAATTTAATTCTCTTTTGTTTCAGACTATATTTATGCTCTTTATTCTTGGTTGGATATTTATACCTATTTATATTAAGGCTGAGGTAAGTGTTCACTGTCAGTTACTCTATTCTGTACAATATTTTTTTCTTACAAATATTACATGTGTACTAAAAACATTCTGGATGAAAATGTCTCAGTCTTTTGATCCTCACACTGACTTTACTAAACTCTGGCATGACAAAAATATAAAATTCTGCCTTGAGTAAACAGATAGCAGTGTGCTTACTCAAGAGTTAGCTTTTATGGATTTTATGACATTTTAAAGCATTGGAAAAATAAGAGCCAAATGTATGAAGAGAAAAATCATTAATGAATAGAAGACTCACTACCCTAAACATTTTAGTTCTCCACAATTGGTCTGTGCATGGAATGTAATTTCAAACAGGGTTTTTCAAGGATCTTAACAAACTGATTCTAAAATATACATAGAAGAACAAAAGTATAAGAATAGGAAAGATACTTCTGTTAGAGAAAAGAAGATATTTTCCCTACCAAATATCAATACTTACTAGAAATCTGTTACAATTAATACAATATAGTGTTGATTCAGGGATAAACAGTGCTGGGCTTTAGATAAGTATTCCACCAAATCCCATAAGTTAAAGGGTTGGTCACCAGTCCATGTCACTATTGGAGCTCAGGTGGAACTTGTAAGAGGTGTAGCCTAGTGTGAGATCTTCTGATCACTGGGGGCATAACCTTGAAGAGAACACTAGTACCTCTTTTGCTTTAGGCCATGATCAGTTTTCTCTGCCAGGCAGTCCTGCTATGATGTACTGTGCCACCACAGTGCCAAAACAATGCAACTGACAATTATTTTGTCAAACAACTGACTATGGACTGAAATCTATGAAATTATGAAACAAATAAACCTTTCACCTTTGAAAGTCAATTTATCTCATGCATTATAGTATGGAAAGCTGATGAATATACACACTGACTAGTAGAAGAGGAGAAAAGCTCAGAAACAGTCATTGACATTGATGGCATTGCTTATCACTGAGGAAAGGAGAGCCAATTGATTATAATATGAAAAAACAAATTTGAATTCCTACTGTTCCCAAAATAATTTTACATTAATTAAAAATTTAAATGGGAAATGCAAAATTATTAACTTTTATAGGAAAGTATAGAACATTTTTATGTCCTTGACATAGAGAGTGATTTTTAAGTAAGATAAAAAATGCCAAATCTCTGATTATTAATGTACACATGCATACTTCAAACTACGGAAGCCCAGCCAAAAAAAGGAGGAAACTAGACCTGTCCTATGCCAGATCTACATCAAGTAGTATTTTTAGTTTATAGTGACTTCAACTGATGAGTACCTTCTCCAACCCACACAGTGTAGACAGTGGAAAGTAGAGTCTTCACTGGTTTGATATCAGAAGACAGAACTGAGGATGAGAAAAGCAAGTGAAAATATAGGTGGAGAGCTCCAAAAACAAGGGAACAATTGAGAAGATTAACCCCCAAATCTCAGTGTAAATTGTGCCTGTGTCCATGGCTGACTACCAAACTATACAGGTGCTACAGAAAACTTTAAGGTGCCCAACTAAATAAGCAACAGTTGGATGCATTAAAAACAAACAGAAACATCAGCTGCTGTATATTACATGTTAGGTGGGTGGTAGCCTGAAAGATTTTGCAGCTTGAGTTTAGAAAAATTAATTTCCCACTAAAACAAAAAACAGCATTTCCAGAAGAACAACACAGATTCTAAAGTGCTACATTGTATTATTTATGATGGTCAGTTTTCTGCCAACTATTACTAGACATACAAAGATGTGGGAAGATAAAAGTGACAATAAATAGAAGCTGACTCCAAACAGGCAGATATTGATTTAAGAGCAAAGACTTCAAAGATACTACTATAAACAAGTTCAAAAAAGTAAAATGTAATAATAATGAATGAACAAAATGGGGCTTCTCAACAAAGAAACAGAAATTATAGAAAAGAACCAAGTAGAAATACTAGAGTTAGAAAACATAGTGATGGAAATAAAAAAAACTCACAAGAAGGTTTAATAGCAGATTTTAAATGACAGAAGAAAGAAAATCAATGGATTTTAAGATAATAAGAATTGTATAGCATAAAGAACTGAGAAAAAAATAGAAGAGGAACAAAACCTCAGAGACCCATGATACTTGTACTCCAACATACATTTATGTCAAGTCCCAGATTAGAGAGAGAGAAAAAGGCAGAAAAATATTTTTGAAGTAATAATGACTGAGAAATTCCCATGTTTGGTGGAAAACATTCATATATAGATCTAAGAAGTTTAACAAACACTAAATAGAAGAAACAAAAATAAAACCATACCTAGGTGAAACTGCTAGAAACAAAAACAAAGAGAAAATCTTGAAAGCAGTAGGAGAAAAATAACACATTACGTGCAAGGAAACAAGGAATGACACACTTAATAGTTGACTTCCCATTAGAAACAATGGAGACCAAAAAACATTGGAATGATATTCAAACTACTGAAAAAAATCTCTCAGCCAAGACTTTATATTACAGTAAAGGCATAATCCTTTAAAAATCAAGGTAATTGGGTAGATAATGATTTGTTAGACAGGACACAAAAGAAAAAACTATAAAGAAAGAAATCAATATATTGAACATCACTGAAATTTAAATTTTTTACTCTTTAAAAGATGATATTGAGAAAGTGAAATATCCAGCTAGAGACTAGGAAGAAATGTTTGTAAAACTTATTTATAATAAAACTTTTCCCCAGAAAATACATTTTTTGAAAAATTCTCATAACTCATTTATAAAAAGAAGGCTTGAACTAATGTTTTACAAAAGAAAACATACAAATGGCAAATAATCACATGAAAAGATGCTCTCCTTAATCATCAGAAAAATGCAAATTAAAATTAAATACCAGTATACACATCTTTTTGTATTCTTTCATGAGCCAGTCAGTTGGGTTTGGCCACAAGAGTAGAAATGAGAGAGGCTTGGGAAAAGCAAAGTTTATTATATCCACAGGTCCCAGAGCCAGGAGGGTCCCAGAGACAGCATACAACACAGGACCACATGGAAAAAACAGGATGGTCAGGAGACAGAAGACAAGAATGAGTCAGTGTAGATCATGACCTTTAATGGGGCTTTCCATGGAAAAAGCAGAACAGTTTAGGATTGAATTTGAATAATTAGGATTGGCTTAAATAATTTCAACAGGTTTGAGACTATAGAGGCGATCTGTAGTTGCCTAGTACCTGATCCCAGAGGAATACTGTCCCCTGGGTACACAGACCAGATAAAGGTTGAACACCTGATTGGTTAACTTGCATATCAAATGCATATTCCAGCGTGGGACCCTTTGTTATCTCTAAGAATTCTAGTCTTGGGAAGGGCAGTCTTTCCCAGGCGGAAAAAATTTTTTAAATGTCAAACCATCATGACATACAGAAGATTATAAAATATTTACAATACACATTAGAATGGCTTAGAGTGAAATAGGAGCATATGCTTTGATATCCTCCAATTGAGTAATAGATTATCACAGCACCTGGCAGCAGATTATTCGCAAGGCCTGGAACAAATCCTCTCTCTGCTCTCAGAAGGAACCAAACCTTCCAAAACCTCAAGCCTCCAGAACTGTAAGGAAATAGTTGTCTGCTATTCAAAGTACCCAAAGTGTCCTGCATTGTTATGGCATCCCTAACATACTCATACAAATAGTAAATGTAAAAACAGCTTGGGAAGCTTAGAACCTCACTGAGAAAGTAAGCCACATAAGGCAGAATATGATTTAGATCCCTAAGAATGGTGAAGATAATGAAAGCTACAGGTGCTTAAGAGAGCACCTGTAAGCGTTCATCAAGCAGGTAGAGTTTAAGAGACATATGTAGGTAGGTGGACATAAGGGTACCCAGAACAGAAAGCAAGACAACATTCATTTAGCAATTATTAGTTTGCCTACCATGAGTTAGGTACTGACTAAGATCCAGGAACATAATGAGCACAGATGGCACAGACCTTGCACTCATGGTATGCCTGAACCTGAGACAATGTGGCAGCAGGATCTTTTGGGACACCAGCATCTAGACTTGCAGTGTTGACATTAGGCAAGTCAGAGAGTTACAGATTCAGTTTCCATCTCCCTTGAGCACTGACTGTCTTTAAAGTACATGACAAGGCACTTGCTATGGCTCTATGATTATTCCACAAAAGTATTGTCATCATTAGGCCAGGTACCAGTGGCTCACACCTTTAATTCTAGCTAATCTGAAGGCAGAGATCAGGAGGATCGAAGTTTGAAGCCAACCCCGGGCAAATAGCCAACTCCCTTACAAAAAAGAACTGGTTGAGTGGCTCAAGGTGCAGGCCCTGAGCTAAAACCCCAGTATCACAAAAAAATAAATATTGTCATCATTAGACATTTTCATTTAGCTGGATTTCCTCCTGCATTCCAAATATTGCCAGGAAGCTGAACTTCAAGGTTCTTGAAGACAGCAATGTTGCCTCTCCTTCCTTATTTTTCTAATCTTGACTGGTGACAAAAACAGTGACTTCAAATCTTGTATTCCTGGGCCACTCCCATCATCTGGTAGCATCCCTGTGACAGCAGCACTTTGTTAACAAGGCTTATGCCCGTGGATCTGCCTCTTCCATGTTCACTATTTGATGGTGACTTGTCTTGTTGCTTCTACAGGTGGTAACTTTGCCAGAATATTTAAGGAAGAGGTTTGGTAGCATCCGACTCCAGATGCTCCTCTCTATTCTGTTTTTAATTGTCTGTGTCTTCAATAGGATCTTGGTGAGTTATGGAAAAGCAAGCCCGAATAAAGAGAACCCCTTCTGAAACAAGAGCAAAACCAAAGCCAACACACCAGACTCAGGATTATACTAGATTATTCAAGTGGTTTACTCTGGGGTTTATAAATTATTTATTGGCCTCTGCTGTAGCTTTAAATAGTACTTAATTTAAATGGAGAACAGTAAGGTAAAACAGGACCTATCTAGGGGTTGGCAACAGTGGGAGAGGGGAGAACAGAGGAAGGAGGTATAGAAGAGTGAATATGGTGAAAATATTATGTACTCGTGTGAAAATGGAAAATTGAAACAGTTCCAGGAAAAAGGAGAATGATGAAGGGGTGAATTCAACTATGATATATTGTTAGAACTTTTGTAAATGTCACAGTGTACTACCAGTACAACAATAACAAAAATTTTTAAAGAATTTTATTACTAATAGCTTAATAATACTTTGTAAAAAAAGAAAAGAAAAAGAAAGGACGGAGGATCTTTTTTTTAACCTCTCAACATGAGTTTCATGTCCCTCCTTTGTATTCCCAGAGAACATTGGGGTTATCTATCTCATGTCATTAACTAATGTGCCCAAATCAATCTAGTAGTTTCCGGCCCTTACAAGAATATTCATGAGCAAGAGTACAAGAGCTGGCCTGTTCAATCTTCCTGCCTCTCTGGCCTACCGTCCTTATTTTTTCCCTTTACTTGTACTTCCTGCCTTATTGATTCTCAATCACAGCCAGCTTATGCTACTTTAAGCCCTTATACTTGCTCTGTACTTTGTCTGCAATATTTTTCCCCAGGTTTTTCCCTGGCTGAACTCCCATCCTTTCTCAGAGGAGAAATGTCTCCTTCTTGGAAAAGCCTTCCATGGGTGTGCCTAGTCATTTGTTACTCCATGGTTCTATTTTACTTTCTTTATATTGCTTATCCTTGTGTGAGAGCAGTTTATTTGTATTCTTGCTCATTATCTTCACCTACACTTCATTCCAAGTTTTCTGAGACCAAGGGCCTCGACCAGCTTTTTTTGCTGCACTATTCCCTGTGCTGAAAACATTTAGCATATTGAGGCCCTTAATAGATACTTTTGAATAACCAAATTGAGTGTCATTTATCACACTGTATAGCATGCTGTATCCTTCGTTCTGCCTTCATTCAACATAAACTCCTTGAGGACAGCAACTGAGTTTTGGTATCCCTTGTGTCTTCTGAACCCTGTTGGATATCTATGACATGGATGGAACTCAGTGAGCATTTGGTGAATAAATGGATAAATGGTGCTCTCCCTATTGTATCTTGGCTTTGGAGGGCAGCATAACAAAGCAAGAGTTTGGCCAGTTAAATGATGTGCAGAAATTGCTAAACCAGTGTCAACTAAGCCAGGAGTCAATAAGTCTGATCCTCAGGCCAATCCAGCTAATGATCTGCTTTGTACAGCCACTGAAGTAAGAATGAATTTTATAATTTTAAAGGATTGTAATAATGAGAGACTGGTGGCTCACAAACCGACAGTATTTACCATCTGGCCCTGTACAAAAACAGTTTGCCAACCCCTAAGAAGCTATCCCTATGGCTTTTTCCCAGTGGCAGGACCACAAGAAAAATTAACTCTAAGCAACACTCCGCACTCTGAGGCTCCAGAGTGGAATAGACTAAGTTGTGTCAACTGGATTAACTCAAGCCCTGAAGGTTCTTTGGCTGAACACACAGGGCACAAAACTTGGGTATAATTCAACCAGTATCCTCTGGTGATGGGATCCTAACCAGAGACCACCTCTTGCATAAGGCTTCCAAGGCCCATTTCTTTCTGCAGTTGTTGTTGATTCTGCTGGAAGTTTAGTGCAGCCTTCTGGCCTTGTACTCATTTCAGTTGGAGATCTGCTATGGTGCCACGTTCTTGAAAATGGTTTGGGACATAGATATTTACCAGACTTCCCTGGTCGTGCTGACAATCGCTGGCGTTTATACCATCACAGGTGAGGCTGCTCTGACCACAGAGATTTATAATTACTCAAACACTCTCTGCTTGGTGGAGTCACTAAGTGTTGCATTTTCTCTAAGTCTGAAGATCACCAGACAGGGAAAATAATGGAGAAGGAGTGCCTGAGTAGTGTCTAACACTAGGAATTAGATTGGGCTGGGTAGGTCTCTCCCTTAGGTCTAACAGGTAAACAGTGATCATGTCTGGGGCACAGTAGGGACTGACACTGCAAGTTTCCAGGTAACAGGATGAGAGCACTGAAGGAGAATGAGGGGAAGGAAAGGCACAGGTCGTAGACCACCTGACCAGGCTTTTGGATGGGATCTATTGTTTATGCAGACAGTTCTGTCTTAGGCAACCTTTTTCTAGGTACTGAGAGTTAGCACTCTTGTCACTTATTTTTTCCAATCACAATGCAAGTTTTATGGACAGAATCAGAGTGCAGAGTAGGATATATTGTATTGATGCTTTGCATTGTCAAGGAAGGGGGATCAAAATTTGGTTTCCAGGGGACATTTGGAAATGTTTGGAGAATAACTGGGCAGAAGAATATTATCTAGTGGGTAGAGGCCAGGAATACTGCTGTTGCTTCTACACTGAGCTTTTTGATGAAACATGTACACTTTTGCTGGGAAAACTATGAAATTGGGAGATAGAAGGGCCAGATAAGAATCCCACAAAAGATCATGAAAGATGTTAAAGAGAGAAAGTAGGATGTACCAAAACCAAGCACAAGTATTGGAAGACCTATCGATTTAAAAGAATAAAGTACAAATGGGGAGGTCTGAGAGGAGAAAGGCATGTAGAGTTGGTGATTCAAAAGTTACTGCTAGCACAGTCAGGCATGGCCTTCATTTCTCTGCCTATTTCCCTTCAGGTGGTTTGATAGCTGTGGCTTATGTTGAGGCCTTGCAAGCTGGTATTATGATTTTTGGATCAGTCTTGTTAATGGGTTATGGTAAGTAAAACTTAAAAATACTGAACAATGATCTTTCAAATCTAGAACTGTTGGGACCATCACCTTCATCTCACAAATGACAGAATGAAGCCCTTGGAACCCAAGAGCATTGTCAAAGGTCATGCTGAGAGTTGGGGAGGAAACCTGTGCTCACTTGAGGAGAAAGAGTTGAGAAATAAGGTGCAGATGATAGACTCCAGTGTGTGTTCCATCACACTTCTCCCCACCCCAGGACTTGTCCTTATTCTTCCTCTCTAATTGTAAGCCCCTTTCCTTTGTCCACTCAATTAAATCCATCTGTTCAGGTGAAGAGTGAATTCCATCAGCACATCTTTCATCAATGGACTTGAGTCACTACCACACAATTTAACATTTTTAATAACATATCTTAATGGTTCATTAATTGTTTCACATAAATAAAGCAGACTTCCCAGATCTAAAACTTCTGGATCCCACACTGTCCCCTACACAAAGTGCAACCTCTTGCATTAAGTACCTACTTCATGAGTAGGTGCTAAATAAGTTATGAGAATCAAAATAATAGCTGATATGAATTAAGTATCAGGTGTCATGTAGGTATTTGTCTATACTGCCTCATTTAATCATGACAGTCATAATTACTTTAGTTATCCCAATTTTATAGATGAGGAATTTTTATTCTAATTTAAGTAACTTTATTATGAGACTCACCAAGAGCAAGACCTGCCCAAGGCTGGATCTTTCTAACACTAAAGCCTAATATATAAAATAACATTTACAGTACCTGAAATGTGTCAGGTACGCTTACCTTAAAATGGACATCTTCCATTTTAAGGAGGGTGAGATTAGGAAGGTTGGTGTGACCACTGCACAATGACTCAGAGGCTGGTCTTAACAGAAATCTACAAGGAAAATATCTTGGCTTGGGTAGTGAAAAATTATTTAAATGACATGTGGGCACAACTGAAGGGCTGTGGTTACAGTGAATATATTGTTGAGCCGTGGGATGAGAACAGATAGAATCAAAGAAAATCAGTCTTCCTCCTTTTACAGGAAGCATTAGTATGCCATGCCATGTACTCAAATGCTGTATTACTAGAATACAATCTACAGATCAGGCTGATTTAAGTGACAGAATATTGACCAAGAAAGACAATAAGCCATTGTGCTTAATTCTATGCTAATATTAAATATTAACATTTTAAAACCTTTCAAACCTACCCCCAAAAGTTGATGATGTCATACAAATAAACTTAAGAAGCAGGGGAATATTCCATTTAGTGTTAGTAATTATATCTATAAATGATTGTATACTCTTTACTGAGAAATTTAATGATACTTTAATTGAAATATTAAGGGATTTTTTTTGAGGAGTAAACTATTATAAAGTAATGATATAATTGTTTTCTTTTACAGAATATATAACACCTTGTCCATCCAAATGAGTGCTGTCCTTTAGTCATTGTAGGAACCCATGCACATGCAATTATATTTTTAATTTTAAGTAAACTAAAGAGTCACCCTTGTTTCTTGGTTCCACTCCTCAGAGACAACTAGTACTATGCATTTATGTATATGCTTCCAAAAATATTCTTCACATATACAAATATTTTTGGTGTGTGAGATATATATATATTTTGATAGAATCAAAACATAAAATTTACAGGGTTTCAGATGGATAAATGGAATAATGCCTAATGTTCTATAGCATAGTAGGATAACTATGATTGGCAAAATTAACTATTTCATGATAGCTAGTAGAGGGCTAGGGGGTGTTGCTTAGAGGGTAGAACGCCTGCCTAGCAAGCACAAGGCCCTGAATTCAAACCTTAGTACTACAGAAAAAAAACTAGAAGAAAGGATTTTGAATGCTTCCAACACAAAGAAATGATCAATGTCTGAGGTCATAGATCTGCATTTACCATAACCTAATCATTAAACTTTATATACGTGTATTAAAATATCACACTACACCCCATAAAAATGATTGACACATAATAATTATGTATAGATAAAACATAAAAATATTTAAATTCAGTTTGTCCATTTTCCCACCACTGTTATCATATTATAGGTAGTTTCTATGTTAACAAGTAGAGATCTACTGCACTTTTTTTTTGGTTTTATATATGTAATAATTTTTTACTGAAAAGTACACAAACTGTAAAGCCAGATGAAATATCACAAAGTGAACACACACTAGTGAACATCACCCAAGATCAGAAATTATAGGGGTTTTTTGTTTACTCCTTCTAAACCATATGCTGTTTTTTCTTTTCCTTACACTAGATAGTATCTTTAGTACAGTGTGGAATAGAAGTGGAGACATTAGGTATCCTTGCCTCATCTCCAATCTTACAGGAAAAACCTTATGTATTTCACCATTAAATAAAATATTTGCTGTTGATTTTTTGTAGATACCCATTGGCAGACTAACAAAGTTTCTTCTATTGCTTTGCTAAGATTGTTTATCACAAATCCTTTTTCAGTTGTATCAAGTATTGTTTCAACACCTCCTGAGATGATTGTATTATTTTCTTCTTTCTTCTGTTAACAGAGTTAACAGAATTGGTTTTAAATGTTATTCTGTCTATATTATTCTTTATTATTGTTGTGCTGGGTGGGGGTACATTGGAGTATTTACAAACATTCTTACAATCTATCAAATATATCATACTTGAATTCATCCCCCCTTCCCCTAATTCTTGGAAAAGTTTCAACAGGTATCATTTTTGCATTTATATACATGTGTATACATTATTTGCACCATATTCATCTTCCTACTCCTTTCCCTACCACCTCCACCTCAATCTTATATTCTTGAAATAAACCCAGCTTTGACAAGAGGTAGCCCAAATTCCTCAGTAAAAGTGGTTATATTTGAATAATATTCTTAGCTGTATATGAGAATGTTTCCTGACCCTGCTTCAACCCAACATCTGTTGTTTTAATAACTTTTAAAACATTGCTCATCTGATAAGTTAAAAAGTATCCCATTTCTTGTTCTTGTTTCAATTTTTAGTTTCCACACAGTGCTAAGGTTGAGCATTTTTCATTTACCTAGTAGTTGTTTAGATTGTTGCTTATAAATTACCTGCTTAAAAAAATGAATTACCTGATTGTATCCGCCAACATATTTTGTTCCAGTAGTTTCCCATGTATAAGAGTCCTTTATACATGATGCAAATCTGTCTTTCAGTCTCAGATTTTAACATGATTCCTGTCGTATAAAATTTTAAATTTTAAGATCAAATTTATTAGCTTTTCTTTTCTATATATTTTTAAGAATGTACTCACTAACCATAGTACATAAACATATTCTGTTGTCTTCTAATACCTGTATAGTTTGTGTTTCACCTTTTTAATCCACATGAATTTATTTTTATAAATGCCATGAGGTGTCTTTTATTAGTTTTGTAGCCACTCTGTCTTTTCATTGACCAGTCTTGACTCCAAATAACTCTGAATCCATTTCAAAAACCAAGTGTATTACAAAGAACACGTTTTTATATGTCGAAGTAAACTAAAACAAGGTAAGTGGATATTTTAACGTATTTTAAATAATGTTTTTCTTTAATGTTAGGATTTTATATCACTCAGGATGGTTGGGGGAGAAATGCCAAAGGTTCTGAAGAAAATTTCATCTGGGAAGTTTCACAATGTTTTGCTGGAATTGCAGGAAAAAGAAAATTTATGTTTTAATCAAGATTCTTTAGATGGAAATTATGATGTAACTTTAGTTCAAAACTAGTGTAAGCAGGAGGATTGCAAGTTTGAGACCAGCCTGTGCTAAAAAAAAAAAAAAAAATGTGTAAGTAAATAAGTATTTTTTGCATCTATAACTAAAAATTCCAGGTGCACACTACCTTCAGGTGTGGCTCAATCGAGGAGTATGAAAGAGTCAGGTAGACAAAACAGCTTCGAGCTGCTATAGCCAGTGAAAGGAAGTACTCTTTTTTTTTAATTCCTTCAGCAGAAGAATCCTAGAGCAAATTCTGAATCGCCCAGCGTGGGTCTCGTGTCCATTCCTCTCATTTCAGTTGTTGCCCAGGAGACAGGGAATACGGGTCAGGCTCAGGTCATGTGCCAGATTGGAATAGGGGATGGTTTGACCACCTAAACCACACATGATGGAATACCCCTGGAAAGAGGTGTTCTGAGACCAACTGCTGGAGGAAGGGTGCTGGGTGCACAGCTGCAATCTTCTTTCTCTTTGGAAGAACTGGCTTTTCCTTAAGCACATGAGGTCTTGGCTATGTGTCACTCCATTGCACTTGATAGATGAGATATAACCAATTACACTGGGTCTTACTTTACAGTCTTGACTTTTCAGTCATGTGTTACTCTTCTCTTTAAGGAACTAATAAATATCATGGTTTTTTAACAGCCTTTAGTGACGTGGGAGGATACCAGGGGCTGCTGAAAAGTTATTTCCACGCTATTCCAAAAATGATCAGCAAAGGAAACTGGACTGCCAAGACAGCATGCTATATTCCTCGTCCAGATGCTTTCATATCTTTCAAGACCGCAACTCTGGAGACATCCCTTGGCCTGCACTTGTCTTTGGTGCCACTTCTCTGTCCTTGTTCTATGGGTGCGCTGATCAGGTAATTAAAGTCATTGTCATTTAAGTAACTGGTCTTTGGTTTCTCTGCAGTTTCAGGCAACTTTGTCCTGTTCACTGTCCATGAGTAGGTTTCCCTTCCAATTTTCACTTATTGCCTAGGTAATTTTATATGAAACATCTAAAAGAAGTTTCTCCCAAAGTCCCATCTAAAACATACCAACTTTTTCATTTTTGTTTTTCTTCCCTGTCATTATGTAAAAAGCACAAATTTTTGAAAGTGAAAAATGGCTTTGTTTTTTGTTCTGATCATTTTGTTGTTTGGTTTTGATCATTATTGCATTGAAAAAAGAATATAACCATTACCTTAAAATAAAAATGATACATCTTTTCTATTTAAAAAAAAAGTCACAGTATAAAGGAAAGTTCAAAGTTGAAATCACCAAAATCTCAAGAAGTGGTAGCTACAGTATTTGATGAACAAGCTTCTACACCCCTTCTGGTATGTATGAACATATGCACTGGTTTACTTTACATAAATTAAATTAATCTATCCTTGCTCTCTGTCCCCTCTTGGGCTTCTTTTTACCCAAAAATATCTTGCAGGCCATGGAGCTGAAGTTCAGTGGTAATGCACAAGGCCCTGGACTCAGCCCTGGGCACCACAAAAATAATGTCACAAGCATCTTTTCCTGTTGGCAAATTAGTGTCAGTATTTTCATTTTAGTGGCAGTAGAGTCTCTGTGATGTGAAATGCACTTAAATGTGTTTAACCAGTTCTCAGTTTACCAGCGTTAGGCGGTCTGCATTGTCTTTATTAAATCAATGATGCAGCGACATCATCTCTGGACATCTCTTGGGCACACATCTCCATAACATTTGTCTAACTCATGTTACCTTATCTTCTAGTTCTCTTTGTAAATGGCACTTCATAAGTTATATTTCCCAGTTCTTCATTATTTATGTATAGAAATGCACATTTATTTTAGGATATAGGTCTTCCTTCTAGCCACCTTGCTTGTCCCAATTCTAATAATTTTATGTAAATGTTGTAGGTATATGGTACAACATCTACAAATGGTTTCCTTCCATTCCTGTCTTTGAGCCATTTGATATCTTGATTTTTCTCACTGTGTCAACTTGTGCTTCCACATATAATGAGATATAAAGCATCAGCTGTAATTGAAGATTCTAAGGCTCCTCTCTAGAAGCAAACTTATCATGCAGACAAAAGTAAGAGCTATCTAGTACCTAAGCAGTGCACATGGCAGGCTTAGTTATATATTGGTCTAAATTTGCATATCTTAATTGTGCAAAGTTCTCCATGTCCATTGAACAGAAAATAAACATTACCCTTTAGCACACTTACAAATATTGACCATAATTAGACTGTAAATGAAGCCTTATTACATTGCTAAGAATCAATATCATATAAAGTATGTGTTTGCACTAATGCAAAAAAAAGTTAACGACAACAGGATAGTTCTTTAAATTACTTATTTCTGAAATTAAGTGACATGTTGTTATATAGTTTCTGGATTTGAAAGTCATTCATTAAAATATATACACTTAAAACTAAGTGCTGGAAATAGGAAAGCTGCAAAAACGCTGCAGAGCACTCCTGTGTAAATAACAATTTCTCAAGTCTCCACTGCAGTGTATCAGGTCAGCGCTGGGCAGGGGTCTGCACTCTTGGAATAGCCCCAGGCTGACTTTATTGTGTCCAACAAGTCCAAAAAACACAAACATTGTGGTTTTTTCAAAATATGGCAAAGGTTCAGCAGAACAATATTGTGGTGCTAGATAGCCCTTCTCTTTTCTACCACCCATTCTGGTTCATGATCACCTTGACTGCATCAAAGACCTATCTGAACACTTGAAATGGAAAATTACCTATGTGGGCTCCACAGAAAGTGAAGAATACATTCAAGTTTTAGAGGGCCCTGTTTCTGCAGGAAGGCATTTGTTTGTATTTCAAGTTGATGCACCTAATCTAGAACTCATTCCAGATGCAGATGAAGTTGTAACAGTCATGCTACTTACTTGTACCTGTGGAGATCAGGAATTTATTAAAGTTGGCTATTATGTAAATAATGAGTATACTGAGACATAATTAAAGGAAAATTCACAAATAAAACCAGATTTTTTTAAGCTTCAAAGGAACATTTTGGGATCTAATCCCAGGGTCACAAGATTCTACTTTAATTTAGGAAGACAACACAGAAAAACCAGGAGATACAGAGAGCAGTATTCCAAATCCACAGTCACTTCTTTCAACAGATGCATTACTTTCAGCATCAAAGGGAATCATCCTCATCAGAAAACCCACTAAATGTCATGTTAGAATCTCACATGGACTGCATGCTACTACCTTCCATCCCTTTAGTACAAATTAAGCTATAAAAACACAGAACTATCTCCCTCTAATTCCAATAATCAAGACATAGTGTGAAGAATTTGTTTTTAAAAATCCTATAGAAAGTTTATAAGAAAACCAATATTTGAACAAATAAGCAAATAGTGGACTATGAAAACAATGATTTATAAGTAATTTTTTGACAGTGAGGGAGGGAAGGGGGAGGAACAATAGAGATTGCTCAATGAGTACAGCCCTTATAGTTTAAATCTTGAATGTTCCTCAAATACCCATGTAGTGAAGGACTGGTCTAAGCCTATGGTGCTATTAAGAGACGAGAGAACCACTAGGAGGCAGGACCTAGTAGAAGAAAGTGAGATCATTGAGGGTATTTTTTTGATATTGAGGCCCTGGACCCTCCTCTTCATCTCTCCTTTATGCGGAAACATTAATTTGATATAATCACATTTTTGAATCCTTGCTTTTATTTCCTGAGATGTTTCAGACCTGTTCAAAGAGTCCTTGCCTATGCCTATAGCTTGAAGTGTTTCCCATATGTGAACCTCTAGATGCTTCAAAGTTTCAAGTCTTAAATTAAGGTCTTTATCCATTTTGGCTTGAATTTTTTACAAGGTAAGAGATAGGGATCTTGTTTCACTCTTCTACATGTGGATATACAGTTTTCCCAGCACACTAAATATGCAGACTTTTTTCCAAGGTATCTTTTTTGTAACTTTTGTCAAGAATCACATAGCTGGTCCAGGCATGATGGTACACACCTATAACCCTACCTACTTGTGAGAGAGAGGGAAAGGATCATGATTCAAGGTCAGCCCTGACCAAAAAAAAAGTAGTGAGACCCCCATCTCAGACAGCAAACTGGGCATTATAGAACACACTTGTGGCTCTAGACACTAGGAGGCATAGGTAGGAGGATCACAGTCTGAGGTCAACTCTTGGCAAAAATTCAAGAGCCAATCTAAAAAAATAACTAAAGGAAAAAGGACTAGAGTGTGGCTCAAGTGGTAAGCCCCTGCCTACCAAATACGAGGTCCAGAGTTCAAGCCCCAACACTGCCTCCCAAAAGAATCAGATGACAGCCAGGTGCCAGTGGCTCACACCTATAATCCTAACTACTCAGGAGGCAGAGATCAGGAGGATCAGGGTTCAAAGCCAACCCATGGCAAATAGTTCACAAGCCCTTATCTTGAAAAACCCATCACAAAAAAAGGGCTGGTGGAGTGACTCAAGGTGTAAGCCCTGAGTTCAAACCCCAGTACTGAAAAAAATAAAAGAATCAGATGGGAGTGCCCTCTTGGGCTTATTTCCAGATCTTAATATTCTACTCCATTGGTCTATGTATCTATTTTTGTGCCAGTACCATACTACTTGTTTGGGTTTTTTTTTTACTATAATTCTGTGGTATAATTTAAAGACAAGTGTTCTGATACTTCCAGCATTGCTCTTTTTGCTCAGGATTGCTTTGAATGTTCAGGGTCTTCTGTGTTTCCATATGAATTTTAGCATTTTTTTCTATTTATGTGAAGAATATCATCAAAATTTGATGGAGATTGAATTAAATTTGTCTATAGCCTTTGGTAGCATGGCCATTTTAGAAATAGTTATTCTCCCAATCCGTGAGCATGAAATATCTTTTCCATCATTTAGTGTCTTTTACAATTTCTGTCTTTAGTGATTTTTACAGTTTTCATTATTGTAGTCTTTAGCATCTTTAATTAAATTTATGCCTTAGTATTTTATTTTTTGAGGGTATTGTGACTAGGATTGCTTCCTTGACTTCTTTTTCAGCATATTTATTGCTGTTGTAAAGAGCTGTCTAGTTTCAAGTAGTCTCATTTCTCAATCCTTTCTCTTAGTTGCTGAGCCATTTCAGTTCCATTTAGGAATCTATTGCCTATGCCTATTAATTCCAGTGGATGCCCTGTTCTTTCCTGCACTAGCTTCAAAGTTTCAGATCTTATATTAAGGTCTTTAATCCATTTTGAGCTAACACTTCTACAGGGTCAAAGACATGGATCTATTTGTAGTTTTCTGCATGCAGATATCCAGTTTTCTCAGCAAAATTTGTTGAAGAGGCTGTCTTTTCTCCATTGTATGATTTGGGTGCCTTTTTCAAAAATCATTTGGCTATAGCTGCATGGATTCATATCTGTGTCTTCAATCCTGCTCCACTGGTTTTCATCTCTGTTTTTGTGCCAGTACCATGCTGTTGTTATTCCTATAGCTCCGTGGTATAGTTTGAAGTCAGGTATTGTGACACCTCCAGCCTTGCTTTTTTGTTCATTATTTCCTTGGCTATTCAGTTTTATGCTTCCAAATAAACGTTAGTGTTGTTTTTCAATCTCTGTGATAAATATCATTAGAATTTTGATGGGGATTGCATTGAACATGTAGATTGCTTTTGATAGTATAGCCTTTTACATAATATTGATTCTGCCCATCAGTGAGCATGGGAGACCTTTCCACCTTCTGTAATCTTCTTCGACTTCTTTCTTCAATAGTTTGTAGTTTTTACTGTAGCGGTCTTTCACTTTCTTTGTTAAGTTTATTCTTAGGTATTTCATTTTTCGAGACTATTGTAAATGGAATTTCTCCTCTTATTTTCTTTCTCAGTCTGTTCATTTTTGGTATAAAGAAAGGCTACTGATTTTTGTAAATTGATTTTG